GCCCCCCAGGCGCTTCCAGAAGCCCCTCCGGGGGCGGGGGGCGGGGTTGGGGCCAGGACCTCCCCCCCGGGGCCGGAAACTCGCGGCCACCCAGCGACCTGGGTCCAGGCGGGGGTCGGCGTCTGGCATGGCCTAGAGGGCACCGGTCGGACCAGTTGGGACCAGTAACGGGCACTGGGCTGGGTCCAACACCTGAGCTGAGCTTCTGCAGTGGGTCTGGAGCCCACCCAGTATGGCCAGTAAGGGACATTAAAGACCAGTAAGGACCCGTAGAGATGAGGAAATACCAGTAGAAGACCAGTAAGGACCAGTGCTGCTCATTAAAGACCAGTAAAGACTAGTAGGAGATGAGAAAAGACCAGTATGGACCAGTAGGAGATGACGAAAACCCAGTAGAATACCAATAAGGATCAGTGATGCTCATTAAAGACCAGTAAGGACGAGTAGGAGATGAGGGAAGACCAGCAGAATACCAGTAAGGACCAGTGTTGCTTATTAAAGACCAGTATGAACCAGTAGGAGATGAGGGAAGACCAGTATGAACCAGTGCTGCTCATTAAAGACCCATAAGGGCCAGTAGCAGAGGCAGGAAACCAGTAAGAACCACCATCAATTGGTCTCCAGACCCTTCCCAGTACAACCAGTAAGACTAATATAGATCAGTACAAATCCATAGAAACCCATACAAACCAGTATAAAGACCAGAACACAGACCCCAGCTCCCAGTTTGGTCCAGTTTCCCCCCCCAGTCCTTCCCAGTAACCCCTCCCAGTGGTCCCAGTACAGTCCAGTAACCACTCCCAGGTTCCCAGTGTAGCCCAGTAACCCCTCCCAGTGCTCCCAGTACAGCCCAGTAACCCCACCTAGTGCTCCCAGTACAGCCCAGTAACCCTTTCCAGGCTTCCAGTACAGCCCAGTAACCCCTCCCAGGCTCCCAGTACAGCCCAGTAACCCCTCCCAGTGCTCCCAGTAACCCTACCCAGGCTCCAAATACAGCACATAACCCTTTCCAGGCTCCCAGTGCAGCCCAGTAACCCTTTCCAGGCTCCCAGTACAGCCCAGTAACCCCTCCCAGTGCGGCTCAGCTCCCCCTCCCAGTCCATCCCAGTGCCCCACCCAAGCCCGGCGCCGGAGGGACCCAGGCGTCCGGGCCTGCCCGAGCAGCTCTCCCCCCACACCCCCGCGGAGGGACCCAAGCGTCCGGGAGCATTCCCAGTCCAACCAGTTCCCCCAGTTTGACCAGTTTCCCCCCC